ATATATATATATATTATGATTTATCTGATAGGGGCAAAATTTATGAATTTTATAAAATTGTAGGATTAAACTTGGGAAAATAAAAATAGAAGAATTGTAGATTTGAGATATTATAGAGAATCAAAATTAAATTTAAACAATTTTATATTATTATCTAATTATAAATTACTTTTATATAATAAATTTATTATCTTTTTATTACTACTTTAAATTTTATATTAACAATAATTTTTAATTGATTGATAATATAATATTTTTATAATAATAGTATATAATCATTAATCTTTGGGTTAAACATCATTTTTGTTTTTATAATTCTGTAAAAATTCATTTATAATCTCCAATTTTTAAATGCCAACTTTTGATTTTATCTTTTTAAGTGTGTCAAAGTTAATCTCATTACTAACGTCTAACTCTAATAATTCAATTTAATGATGACGTCTAATTATTAGATGTGTTTAAAATTGAATTAACCCAAACAAAATATTATAAACTAATCTCTAAAAAATTAAAAACCGGTGAAAATCACAAATTAGCAATTAAAAACCGGTGAAAAGTAAATATATGCACTAATATTATAAAAAAAAAAAAAAAAAATTTATCATGATTAATCGAAATCCTATTTTTATATTAAAATATTTTTAATCTATGAACCCCTTGTTGTGAAACATAAGCATCAAACAGTGGTTGTCTTTGGAAAAATATCATAGATTTTTTTTTTTTAACAAAGTAGCATATATAAAAAATTGTATGAAGTAAATTAAATTATTTTTATGAACAGAGAACCGTAAGATCTGATAATATCGCCACTTTATCCAATCATTGACAAAGATTGTTTGTTATAATTTTATTTTTTTACAAAAGTTATACACAATGTTTATTGAAACTTTTTTTTTTCTTCAATCACTTTATTGAAATTTTTATGTTACTCATATTAGTTTTTTTCATATGATATACATTACATTATTTATTTTCTTTATTACTTTCTTTCATAATGAATTTAAATTTTCTGCAGGGAAGATATATTCAGATTCGGTGACAGATAAATTTTTTGGCGGTCAAATAGTATTATATTTAGATTTATTTACACTTCTCATTTAAATTTAAAGAACTAGTATCAAATAAACTAAATTTTATATTTGCAATTAATTAATTATTACAACAATAGATACATTTAATCAGTAGCTGCATAAATAATTTTAGACCGGATATCACTCATAATAAATTATTTCAAAATATTAGTTTTAAGATAATTATTATAAAAATTAATAAACTTATATATAATAATTTATTATTAAATAATGATAATAAAATAATATTTATACTAAAGGTGAATCTTAATTAAATTATTAAAAAAAAATTCTGACTGCTAAAATCAATAGAAAAATGAATTGATAACAAATAGTATATTAAAATTTGACGAACATATCACCAATATGATATTTTATTCACAAAGAGGATAAAAAATCCATGTGGAAATTGAAAGTACAAAACCACACACTGCACACAATCACCCTGTCCCACAAGAGAGATCACACTCACTAAAGTTCAGATCTCAATTTTGGAACCATAAATATAATTGTTGTTTTTACATTTTTTAATTAATTTTATCTCATAAATATACATTTTTTTTTTATTCTCCACCTGTCTTTTGCATCATTGAGTGTACTTAGGTTGGTGAACAAAATTATTGGTGCACAGTTATAAAAGATACTAAAAACACAAAATTCACTTCCAGCCACATAATAACTATAGTGATTGCAGACAGACTTTGCTTTAAGCAAAAAAAAAAATTCATATCCTCTTTTATCCAGTTGAATAATGACCATAAAAAATAAAGTAAAATTGACAATGTTTTCCCAACAAAAGAGTAGAAATTAAAAGTCAAAGAATCATGCAAGTTAAGAATTTGCAGCAGACAAAAGGGAAAAAGGACAAGATCAAAATACCAGACAGTGCAGAAGCTTCTCTCTCTGTAAGCATGGCAGAGAATCCACTAAAGGCATGATTGAAATGGTGGATTAGAGCTATCCTCTCACTTTCTTCTCTGAGAAAATGGAAAAGAAAAGAGAAACATGTTCATTCCATAATAAGTTCAATTGAATTTGATTTCAGTGGTCATTATGGTTATAGATATAAGTGAGATTTGAACTTATAATAAGCTAGATAATGAAGTAATGAACCTTGGGATGATTGAGGACAATAGCTGCAGATGATCTGATTCTGGTATTTGGCCTTCTACTTCCACCCCAACGTTTTTTGGTGATGGATTTCCCATATAAACAACATAAGGCTGCAGAGAATGAGAGAAACTTGGGTGAATCTTGCACAAACAAAATTGAACATAATAAGCTAGAGCGGAAATGTGTGTATCTATGTATATAAACCTTGGGAATTTGATCTGAAATTGCTGTAGTGCTGATAAGAAGAGAAACTACAAAGAGGAAATGAAGGAATCGGAGAAGCCCCATAATTGAAGAGAATGACATAAAGTGGTGTTAATGAAAAGAACTGCTCATGCAATCATCCATTTTATAGGGTAGGAGTGAGTATTTGCTTAATTATAGGAAGCTTGAAGCATATGAGAGAATCTTTCAGTTCTTCTAACACTACTAGAATAAGTTTACTCATTGTTGCTTGTCCAAGTCAATACAAATATTACAGGAATTTTATCTCTTTTTTTTTTTTTTTTTTCCTATTTGCTATATACTATTGTTTAATGAGTGTGTTAACATTAGGTAAAACAGTGTAAGCAAAGGATATTATATCAGAATTCAGAACAGTTTGCCAATTATGACCACACCAATGTATGTGTAGATGCAAATATTTGCCCCCTTTTCATAAAAAACAAATACTCATCACACAAGGATGAAAACTGAGAATATTTCCATTTTAGGCAACTTCAAATGTTGTTACTTGGTTAATCTGAATAACTACATTGCATCAGTCAAGTATACTCCTTACATAGAAAAGATACCAAATTAGTAATTTTGCACTTTGCAGAAGTACTCACTTAAAAAAATGCTTTTGTGGGTTTTTAATTTCTTAGTCCACATGAGATTTGTCCAATCTATGTATATAGTTATTTTTGCACACATGATGTAGTAGTTAACATTGCCAATGTATTATATTCAGCTACCTGAATTCTTTGAGAAAAGAAAGGAAAAGAGAGATTCCAATTACCTGTATAGATGCTTTCACTTTAATGAGATGGTATATAAGTGAATGAAATAAAGCAAATCATATGCTTGAAATGCAAGTAAATTTGTCTCTTTATGTGCAAAAGAGTTAGGGAAGAACTCTCATATATTTTTATGCCCATGTGGGATTCTTCTCTTTGTTTCCTTTATCTCATTCCCATTAATTTCTTCGTCTTCAAGCGTTTTCTTATATGTGACTGCATAAAGTGCTGCCAATAAAATATTCCAAAGATGGACTCAATTGAGAGAGGTTTAGATTAAGTTTTTGGTTCAATGCTTCCAAAAACTAACACAAAATTATATTGACTAGTAAGAATTAAGGTTGGAAGCATATCAGTATATGCTCCTACTGATTATAGCACGTTTGGAAATTCCTTGATTTTGGCTAATATTATTTTTGTTCCCATCCCTTTTTTAGTTTAGCTCTTTAAATTTTAAAAATTCACTTTAATATCTTAAAGTGTCTCCACTAAATAAATTTAATATCCTTATTATAAAATACAATTTAGAAAGGATCAGTAATATTTTTCACAAGGCATTTTACAATTTTTATAAAACGTTAATTTTACTTATACTCTTATTAAAAATTATGAAAAATATGTATTTCTCTCTCATATATTTTAAACTTTTTAATTGTCATTTATTTATTTATTTTTTGATATGGATAATTTATTCACTTCTCTCATGAAAATTTAATGACAACTAAAGAGGATAAAATTGATAAATCATACCTTTGTTATATATAATCAATAAGATTAATTAATATAATTATTTACATTATTCTGTATAATTTGATTAAAAATGTCTTTCAATAAAAACTGAGTAGTATTTTTATTATTATTATTTTAGAGCTTATCACACTAATTTGATGAACTTGGCCATATATAACAAATTGTGGGAGATGTTAGGTAGCAATATTTGTCTTAACATTTTAAGAAATAAACTTTTGAACTTAAGTGAATATAGGCCATGATTCCTATTTTCTTACAATGTGAACATTAGGTGGAGCATGACAGAGACCAATGTTAAATCAAAGCTTGGTTGTATTAATCCAACAGCATCAATCCAGCATAGAGTGTATTGAACCTATCTTCACCTAATCAATAATAACAAAAAAGTTTCTTTGTCCCCCAATAACAGTTCAATTTATAAATTAAAATTTGTTTCTTATACAACTATACTGCACAAGTTCAAATCTTATAATGCACTCTTCTTTCCCCCTTCTTTCTAGATAATCCTTGAATCTATAACATATAATAAAAAAAAATTATCTCATTTGATATCCATATTTTTTTTAGATGATTTTATTTTTAAATTTTTAAATCATAAAAAATAATATTAGAAATTAATCATTCATATAAAGATAAAATTTGATCTCAAGACTTTTAAGTTTGAAGATCAAATATAACACCAATTAGTTTATTAAATATTAATAATTTTTAAACATTTTTATTGAATAAAATATAAAGACATAAAAAACTTTAATTACCTGGTAATAGAAATAATTCAAGGCTTAATTTTAGTCCAGAAAGGCTAGTAAGAGAGGGACAAAACAAAACTTCGTAGTCTCTATAAAACTTAAATATATCTGTCTTGTCTGATTCAATCCCAATTAAAAATGCATGCGTAAGTGTTAGTAAATGTTTGGCAATCGTTTTAATTTTTTTTAATGATTAGTTTTGTAAACCTGTCTTTTAATAAAGTAAAATGCTAACCTAGATATAAAAAAATACATCGGTGTTAAAATAATGATTAGTCAACAATAAAAATCATGTTCTATGAATGTAAATTAGTTTTTGGTTATTAATATATTACTTAGACTATGTTTATGAAAGTAAAAAATAAATAAAGAAAATAGATTTTTTTTTAATATTGAAATGTGTAATCTTTAGTGTAATTTTCAACAAAATCTTTTTTATATTGATTTCTTAAATATCACTTAGAGAGCATTTCCATAAGAAATTTATGCAAAAATTATTATTGGAAATAATGTTTTTTAAAAATATTATGTTTAAAAGTTTATATCTATTTTTAATTCTTGTAAAATGAACAAGTTTTGATTTTGTTTGTTTTGAAAGAATTTTTTTTGTTGCTTTTCTAGTAAATATTATTGTTGGTCCTTCTACGTAAAATGAGTAAATTTTGGTTTGGTCTATAAAATATTTTTCTTTGATTTTCATCCCTTAACATTCTAAAATTATTATTTTTGATTCTTCATAATAATTTTAAAATAGATAAATAACATTTATTTTATGAACCAATAAATTTTTTAAAAGATATCTCACGCTAACATAACATCATTGACGGTTATAAGTAACATTTGAAATGATGACTTAACTAAGCATTCTATAGGATTAGCCCGCCGACTACCATTTACATACTCCGCACCTTTCTAGTAATTGATTAAGGATTTAATCCTTGATTTCATACCTTACTCAATTGGTTACTTTATACATGTATGATTTGACTGGTCCCAATAAAACTTCACATAAAATCTAGAGGAGACAACTTAAAACATTTTTTATTTAAGAGCCAACTTATACCCAATAAAGTTTACTCATTAAAGTTTTTTCTCAACTTTGGTCTCTTTGAGCACCACAACTTATACCCAATAAACAAGATATTTTAAAATTCTAAAATACTTTACTCTTCTCTAGTTTTTATGTATCTCAACTGAGACATGTTTCACAAACACCACATGTTTAAACAACTTAACAACTTACTCACTTCAATCAATTATCAACTCAAAACATTATTATACATCATCCTAGATCAATTTATAATGAACCATAATCATACATCATCATATTATATATATAAGTAAGCAATGCTCCTCAATTATTTTCAACAATTAGACAAATAAATAAGATTTTTTTATCTAACAAACCACACTCAATGCCATTTTTTACACGCTCGATGCTATTGAGACAAACAGTCTCTATCTTGCCCATGCCTAGTGTTAAACCACTTGCGTCCAACATGAATAAGGTATAGAGCCTCTTTTTCAATCACCCTTGATGTGGTTAAGCCCACGCCCGACCTCATTTAGGCAGAAAGTCTTTGCTTGACTCGCATCCATTGCCATTAAACTTGCGTTCGATGTTGTCTAGGTAGAAAGCCTCTATCTTAATCAAGCTTGGTGCCACTCATCTTGGAGCTCTTTGAGTAATCATGCTTGACCTTCATTTGGTTAACCAAAACAAATCAATTCCTTAGTTTTTGGTTTGGCCAAGATTGGCTAGGGACACCTTGGCCACCCACCTTGATTAGTTTCTACCCTTAGAACTACTTCTCCAACCACCTAAAGATAAAAGGACATTTGGCACTTGCTCATTGGCTCTTCTAGATGTAGTTGTCTCCTACATGTCTCTTAAAGCTTCCTTTTCAAGCTACCTAAGACTTTAGCTTCTTCTCCAAGCTACCTAAATTGTATATATAGGTTCTTGGAACCATTTGTACATAAATTTGAGCATTATATTGAGATTTGGCCAAAATTCTTCCTCTAAATCTCTCTCAAAGCTTATTTCTCTCTTTAAAATTTTTCATTTTCTTTTATCCTTTCTTGAGTGTAGTGAGAAATTGAAGAGACTTATCACTCTTCAAGAGTGTGGCGTCACCTAAGGGAGTTTCTACCTTTTCTTGTGTATTAGAAATGGCTTCTAACATCAACGGAAGTCGTTGAAGAAGCTTGAAGGAGTCCAAGAAGTGAAAGATCTGTCCAAGAAGTGAAAGATCTGTCCAAGAAGCTTGAAGGAGAAGTTACATCAATCTAGTCTCTCCCAAGGTTTCCAACATCCTTGGTGGGAAAAAGGGAGGATTATCACTAGTATATGGATAGTGGATGCTCACAACATATGAAGTTCATAAACCTTCAACTGAAGTAAACATTACCCAACAAGAAGGGGGATTGAATTGTGGTTATCTTAAAATTTGAGTTACTTTTATCAAACTAATGTTTAGAAGTTGATGCTTTTGAAGGTTTAAAATAACATTTTTATTTTGAGAAATTCTTTATAAAATAACTTCTCAAAAGTTTGTGCTTCTAAGGTACTTGAAAATACTTTCTACTTGTTTTAAAAACTCAATATGATATACCACAATCATGTACCAATAAATGAGTAGCTTAAAGTAATTTGAATTAATATGAGAGTAAGTGTAAGAGATATTTCACATTATGATTTATCATGGTTCACCTAACCTTGGGTTTCATCTAGTCCCCACACACAAAATGGGATTTCTCTACTATAATCAAGAGCAACGGCTCTAAATACAACCACCAACACCCGTTGGATTTCCCCTACACAAACCAACCACCTACTATTTGTGTACTCACCCTTAGCCAACTAATAAGTAACCCTCAACATCTGTTGAGTAAACCACCCTCACAACCCATAACTATGAG